GACCTGCAGTCGTATCGGCCCTCAGGTTTTTTTTCCTCTGGTATACTGCAAGCAACTCAACACCTTAATTGCAGCAGCCATGTCCCTCGCAGCCTCGAGGCTTCTGTGGAAGTCCGTCTCCTCCGCGTCATCGACACAATGCCGACGATGCATCTCCCAAGCAGCAATTTCTAAGCAGACCCGGCCGACTGCCGCGCCGACCATGTTCCAGACGAAACCCGCCCCGGCGCAGAGGAGGACGAAGACATACAAGACAGTGGAGGAGGCAAAGAGCAGGTACAGAGCAGGGGTAAGGGAAGCCGTCGTCGCTTGTAGAAAGCAAGGTCTCGGATCGAGGAGCCGTATGCGCTGACTGGATTTGTAAAAATCAGCCCTTTTCATGGAAAGCCGGTGTTCTGTTCGTCGCCACCGGTGTCGGCCTGACGTGGTACTTTGAGCACGAGAAGCAGCGCATGGAGCGCAAGCGCATCGCGGAGGCGACCAAGGGCATCGGGCGGCCCAAGGTCGGAGGGTCGTTCGAGCTGATTGACCAGAACGGCAACAAGTTCACGAGCGAGGACATGAAGGGTCGCTACGCACTGGTACGTTTTGGTTTTGGCCCCCTCCCTTTCCTCGGGACGTATACGACCCGGCCGTGGCAACCGAAAACAACAAAACCTAACCCCCTCTAACGCAGGTCTACTTTGGCTTCACCCACTGCCCCGACATCTGCCCCGACGAGCTCGACAAGATGGCGCGGATGTACGACCTCGTCGAGGAGAAGCGGCCCGGCTCGATCCTCCCCATCTTCGTCACCTGCGACCCGGAGCGCGACAACCCCGCCGTGGTCAAGGAGTACCTCTCCGAGTTCCACCCCAACTTCATCGGCCTGACGGGCACCTACGACCAGATCAAGGCCATGTGCAAGCTGTACCGCGTCTACTTCAGCACGCCGCAGCACGTCAAGCCCGGCCAGGACTACCTCGTCGACCACAGCATATATTTTTACCTGATGGACCCCGATGGCGACTTCGTCGAGGCGCTGGGCCGCCAGCACTCGCCGACGGCGGCGGCCAAGATCATCCTGGACCACATGAACGACTGGCAGGGCGGGTGGAAGAAGGACTAAGCGCGGGTTTGACGAAGAATGAGCAAGGTTGAAGGGGGCGGTTGTATCGACCTGTGTAATATGTACCACCACGGCTGTTTCATGGGATAGACCTTTTGAGCAATCGGGCTCGGTGACCACTCAATCACACTGTAATATCATCACTTTGTACACTCTTGGATCCCGCGTTCACGATTGAAGTGAAGAAGAAGCTCTGGTTATCTTGAGCAACGCGAGCGACACGCCGCCGCGGAGGAATCTACAAGTCAGAAACAAGCGAAACTCTGAATAGGAACCAGAACCAGTCCGTCCGGCCGCACTGCAACGACTCCCCTCTTTGGCAGCTGTCAGGTTTCAAGCCGTCGCATTGAAGCTGCAAGGAAACGACCGCCGGCGGCCGGCGTCTGCACCGGCCGGGGACGAGCTTCGCCGCTAAAATTAGCGAGTGGAGTTGGTGACAGGGGGGTTTGGTCATGCGTGCAGGGGTGGGAGAGGGATGGGGGGGGGGAGCTCTCAGTGCCTCAAATCGGCCGTCAAGTCGAACAAGCTGTCCCAGCCAGTGTATCCGTGCGATTCATCACCGCCTCACCTCTCACATACCACACACACACACACACACACACACACACACACACACACACACACACACACACTGTCTTTGGCGAGAGACACACCACACTCATTCCACCTCGTTCAGCATTATCATGCGGGCGGTGCATTGCATGCTATCGAACTTCAAGCTTTAGAGTCAGGATGAGGCAGGCAGGAAGAGCTACGGGCCTCGGCCGGCTTTCGAGGCCGTTCACCACGCCGAGAACGCATGCGACGTCGCGGCTCGCAACCGCCGGCGCCGGACTCCATGGAAGGAGATTCGCGGCTCCGAGCACACCCAACGTCCCGGGGCGGGCGTGGTTGGGGGTCTCCGGACCTCAACGTTGTTTTAGCACCAAGAAGCGTGTTTTCGAGGCGGGCGAGGCGCCGTCATTTGCGTTTGCCTTTGAGTGAGTCAAGCAACCCCCTGATAAAAAATAAATAAAAAGAAGAAAAAAAGTGACATATATGCATACACGCATGCTGTGAAGTTGGTGTCCAACGCGACGCGTCCAGCACTTTACATTTCGCGGCTGCGAGGCGGAAAAAGAGACGGTGACTGACGAGAAAGGATCGCAGCATCGATGGCGTCCTGTTGCACGTGGCGAAGCCCATCCCCGGCGCCGCCGAGGCCCTCCGCTACCTCAACGACAACAACATCCCCTTCATCCTGTTGACCAACGGCGGGGGCAGGCCCGAGGCGGTCCGCGTGAGAGACCTCAGCGAGAAGCTCGGCGTGGAGCTCTCGGTGGACAACTTTGTCCAGTCGCACACGCCCTTCCAGGAGCTGGTCCACGGGCCGGAGGGCCTGGGGGCTAAGACCATTTTCGTGACGGGCGCCAACGCGCAAAAGTGTCGCGAGATTGCGAAGCAGTGAGTCCCTTTCTTTTCTCCCTCCCTCTTTCTCTCTCTCCTTCTTATCCTACAAAGGCACGTGTGCTTACTAGGACGTTAGGTACGGCTTCAAGAGCGTGGTGACGCCGGCGGACATCATCCACGCGCAGCCGGACGTGTTCCCCTTTGAGCTGTTGATGAAGTCGGTCTACGCCGGGACGCACGAGCCCCTCCCCAAGCCCATCTACACGGGCGGGGTCGGAGGCGGGGCGGCGACGGAGGCGGAGGCGCTCAAGATCGACGCCATGTTCGTGTTCAACGACCCGCGCGACTGGGCACTGGACATTCAGATCATCATGGACCTTCTGCTCTCGCGCGGGGGCGTGCTGGGGACGTACTCGGACAAGAACGGCGACAGGTCGCTGGCCAACGGCGGGTGGCAGCAGGACGGGCAGCCGGCGCTCGTGTACTCCAACGCGGATCTCTTATGGCCGACGACGTGGCACCAGCCGCGGTTCGGGCAAGGAGCGTTTCAGGCGGCGGTGGCGGGGGTGTGGAAGTCGGTGACGGGCGGGGCGGCGCTGCAGACGACGGTGTTTGGCAAACCGTTCGCGACGACGTACCGGTACGCCGAGAGGGTGCTCGAGGCACACCGGCGGGCGGTGCTGGGCAGGGCGGGAGGTGGCGGCAAAGGGGTGGCGCCGCTGAAGACGGTGTACATGGTGGGGGACAACCCGGAGAGCGACATCCGCGGGGCCAACGACTACAGCAACGAGAAGACGGAGTGGGCGTCGGTACTGGTCAAGACGGGGGTCTGGAGGAAGGAGAGGGGGCCGCCGACGCACGCGCCCAAGATGATTGTGGACGATGTCAAGACGGCGGTCGAGTGGGCGCTGGAGAGGGAGGGACGGCCGACGAAGATTTAGGGCGGCCGCGTTGCATTCTGTGTACATGTACAATTTTCAAAAGAAATGCATCGAGCGTGAAGTTTCAACTGGCGTGCTGCGACTTTGGGGGGGGGGGGGGGGGGGGGCATCGCGAAGAAAGGAGTGGTTGAGTTGTGCATGAGCCGCTACCGTGCCACAGGTGACGAAGCCGGTAGTAGACGCCGACCTGACATGGTGCCTTGGTAGGTAGGTAGTTTGGATAGATAGATAGATAGCTAGGAAGTGATATTGATGTATGATTCGACATTGCGAGACTAAATAAACAAGCATGTACGTCACATGCAAGTCGCGCGGCCCAAGACATGTCAGAAAGCGCAAACCAGGGTCGGCAGCTCCCGACTGGACGAGCAGGGACCCCTTGACGTCACATTTGGGGGTCTTTTCTCGGTACAAATATACTACGGTACCTAACCAGGCGGGTGACAAAAAAAGCCGCACTCACAAATTACAGTGGTTGATTCGAGTGCCTATGCGCTAAAATATAGGGTATATAGGTATTATTTCAGCATCTACCTCCCTAACATATTGTGGATCCCCAAAGCACAGGCCACCTTAAGTCGACTTCACTGAGTGCGGCTTAATTTGGCACCCGCTTGCTAACCTACCTAAGTGTAGGTGTGGTTGGTGTGAGGTGTGATGCGTGCTGGGGCCGGCTGCGAGCTTGGACGACTTTTTTACCGTCGCCTTCAGCGGCGCTGGAAGATGGGAAAAAAAAGGCAAGTCAAGTCTGCATGTGCATGCAAGTTTGCGGTTAGCGCATGAACCTACTACCTCCTCGTACATGTAGTTTAGGCACGTATGATAAGTACTTGTACATCTGTACATATGTCGAGCTGGTTAGCATGTATATAAGCATGTGCATGTGCAGCTTCTCTGGAAGGCGGTGGGAATATTCTGCGGTTGTTCTTCGTAAGAGAAGGAGCCAACAACGCTTAAGCGGGCTACTCACTCAGAAGGAAGGGGCCTGGGGGACCCCAGGTTGGTTTTGCTTGCCCTACACGTGTTTGCGTGCCTTAATGGTACGGAGTACAATGTACGTACCGAGACCAAGGTACGATGTAGTAGTGACGAGGGGCAAGGCACATGACCAGGCGGGGTTCCCCAAGGCTCTCAGTCAACGACCCACAAGCACCAGTCAGTCTCGGTTCGATCTGCGCTGTACAGTTAATCTGGACAAGTTTCCTCGTCCGAACACAGTACATGTAGGTAGTCTTCACCACACGTCGTCATCACCAATTGCCATTCGTCGCCTTTCTCATCCGAAAATACATTCTCATCTTACAAGATGCATCTGTAAACTCCCGTCTCCAAAACAAGTGTCCTCCCTTCCTAGCTATCAGGCTCCAAGGACACCTACCCCACCCCACCACCCCTCACAAGAAGTCTGGATCTACGATGTACCTGGTACAAAGTACCGCACGATAACCCCTCAGTCAGTGTCCGTGTGTGCGCTCGCGTGTCTTGGCTTTGCGCCCGATAAGGCTTTCTTTCTATCGCGGGCCGTTTTCTGTGGCCCCCTCCGTGTCGCTACGCTACCACAACCTGCTACCTCTCTTACCTCATCGCAACGAGGAACACGCCTGATTCTTCACCCAAGACCACTCTCGGTCTCCTCGAGACATCGCCGTTTTGTCTGCGGTTTTCACCAAAATATCACCATTGCGCATCTTGCCCCACTCGTAAACCGCGCACGTCGCTTGAGTCTCCTCCACCCCTCGCTGTCATGTCGTCCTCGTCGCCCCAGCTCAACGGCCAACCTCTGCGATCGGCCATGAAGGTTGACGACGATAACGACAAGCCATCCTCGGCCACCGCCCCTGGGAAAGGTCAGTCCTCGCCTCGAGCTCGCCCATCGTAACCTGAAGTCTGCAGGCTCCTCACACCCATCAAGCGGTGTGGTGTGAACCCCCCTTATTTTTTCGGAAACTGGAAGAAGCCTGCGCATACCAGCAGTCGAGCCGCCGTGGCCACTCGCCCACGTATGCTTCTTGCCCTGGGTCGCGCGGTGACGCCTCGCGCAATCTTGCAACCCAAAATGTCATGGGCGCCCCTTGATGGACCGGTATCGTCGCTGGGCTTACAAAACTTGAGAAAGTTCATGCCTTTGCTAACCCTGTCGCAGTCGTCCAAATCGCCGAGCCAGAGGCTGACACCGCCCCGCTGCCGCCCAACCCACCATCTGCTGATCATCAGGCTCATCACAAGAGGCAGTACGCCGCCAACATGGCCAAGAGACTGACCGGCCGTATGGGTCTCACCTCGTCATCTCGATCCTCCCCGGTCCTGGAGCCATCATCGCAACCTCCATCCTCCGCCGACGATTCTTCACCTGCAGGAGGCCCTGCCCCCGCCATCGCCCAGCAGCACCACCATCATCGCCATGGCCAGAAGCACTACTACGAGAGCCAGAAGCTGCTCGCTCAGCTCCATGACTGGCTGGAGCACGAGCGCAAAAAGAAGGCCTCTCGCAAGACTAAGACCTCATCTCGTCGCCGCTCGCCCCATTCCAAGCCTAAGAAGGAGCTGTCACCGGCCCCCGAACCTGCAGCCGCTGCAGAGGCAGCAGACCCGGCGATGCCTCGTTCTCGCTCCGACTCGATCGATTCCGACTCGAGCGACGTTTCGTTCGACAGGCTGCAGAAAATCATCGAGGACAGCATGGCATCCATGGGCATCAACTCGGTTCCTCAGATGGCCCCCAAGGTTGGCAGGCGCCCTTCCGCCCGTCTCAGGAAATCGCAGTCGCGCAGCTTGCTTCAAAGAACGGCGAGCTCCGACACCGACTACTTTGGCGACGACGTCGTCGTGCCCACGTGCGATGCTGTCCTTGACAACTCAAAGACTCTCAGCTACAACGGCGGCGGCAAAAGCACCGACGACTTGACCCTCGGCCACAAGGCAGACGACAAGGAAAAGGCCTGGGCCACGTTCAAGAACGAGATCGTGCGCCTGACCCACACACTCAAGATCAAGGGGTGGAGAAGGGTCCCTTTGGACAGCGGCAACAGCGTCATTGTGCAGCGCCTCAGCGGAGCCCTGACCAACGCCGTTTACGTCGTGTCCCCCCCGAAGACCTCGGCGAGAAGGTGACGGGCAAGAAACCCCCGCCGAAGCTCCTCCTGCGCATCTACGGCCTCGAGCACCTCATCGACCGCGAGAACGAGCTCACCGTGCTCCGGAGACTAGCGCGCAAGAAGATCGGCCCCAGGCTCCTCGGGTGCTTCACCAACGGCCGCTTCGAGGAATACTTCAACTCCATCACCCTCACCCCCAGCGACTTGCGCGAGCCCGAGACCTCCAAGCAGATCGCCAAGCGCATGCGCGAGCTGCACGTGGGAATCGACGTCTTGGACCGGGAGAAGGACGAGGGCCCCGCCGTGTTGAAGAACTGGGACACCTGGCTGCGCAACGTCGAGAAGAAGATCCTGGCCCTCGACGAGAGTGTCCGGAGGGGCAACAGCGTGTTCCGAGGCTCCGGCTACGTCTGCGGCGTCGAGTGGCAGCAGTTCAAGGAGCTGTACGACAAGTACCGCGAGCTAGTCATCAATGCCTACAAAGGCCCCCAGGAGATCCGCGAGCGTCTTGTCTTTGCCCACAACGACGTAAGTCCAGCAACCACCCCCATGTCCTTCCCCACCCCCTCCCCCCTGAAATGCAGAACAGAGGTGACTGACTGCCCTTCAGACCCAATACGGCAACATCCTGCGCATGCGGCCCGACGACGAGAAGTCGCCCCTGCTGCAGCCCGCCAACGAGCACAAGCAGCTTGTCGTCATCGACTTCGAGTACGCGGCCGCCAACGTCCCCGGCCTGGAGTTCGCCAACCACTTCACCGAGTGGGCCTACGACTACCATCACGAGACGCTGCCCTTCCGCTGCAACACGGTCCGCTACCCGACCATCCAGGAACAGCGCCGCTTCCTCAAGGCCTACGTCGAGCACCGCCCGCTGTTCTCTCACGGTGGCGCCTCCACTCCGCGTCTCGCCGCCACCGACGTTCCCGCCGGCAGCACCACCCCGGCCCTCCTGCCGACCAGCTCCTCGAGCTCCATCGTCGAGTTCATGCTCGACGCCCGCGTGCCGCCGAACCACTGGAAGGAGGAGGAGCGCCGCGCCGAAGAGGCGACCGAGGCCGAGGTCAAGGAACTGTACGAGGAGACGCGTCTGTGGCGCGGCATCAACAGCGCCCAGTGGGTCGCCTGGGGCATCGTCCAGGCCAAGGTGCCCGGGTTCGAGTCCCCGGAGGAGATTGAGCAGCAGGAGAGGCAGGCCCAGAGCGAGGCCGCCGCAGCCGCCGGCGACGCCGAGGCCAAGGCCGAGGTCCAGGCCGCCGCAGACGCCAAGGACGAGGGCGACGAGTACGACTACCTGAGCTACGCCCAGGACCGCGCCTTCTTCTTCCTCGGCGACTGCGTCATCATGGGTCTTGTACGCAAGGAGGAGCTCCCCGAGGACGTGCAGAGCCGGCTCAAGATTGTGGATTTCTGAAGGGGGGGGGATGGCAAGCAAGCAAGCAAAGTTGGGTTAACGTACCCAAACCTTGTGTGACCTCCAATATCCGGTGAGGTGGGGGGAGGGGGGAACTGTTTGTTCACGTAGTTCCAACACATTTAGATTGTTTGGAGGCACATTACACAGCATAGCACAGCAAAGCACAGCAAAGCCGAATATTTGATTTTATTTTTATTTTTTTCCTTGTTGGTGTTTGAAAAAAAGAAGAATTGTGGCATCTTGTTTGTATTATTGCCGCCACACGGCGTCGGGAGGTGCAATAATCGTTTTTGCCTTGCATCACATGGCCATTGGGCATTCGCTCTCTGCCTGCCACGTGCCTGAAAGAAAAGAAGTTGTAGGAGGGAAAAAAGAAGAAATAAAAATAAAAAGTAAAAAGTCTACCCATCTACCGACAACGTTCTTTTGCCACCACCCACACTCAGCCCAGCTTGTTGTACCGCTCCCTGGCCCTGTCCTGCACCGTGTTGACGTACTCGGCGTAGCTGTTGGTCGTCTTGCGCTGCGCCAACTCCGCCGCGTCGCCCAGGTTGCCGCCCTCGGCGCCGAGTCCGACGCCCTCCTGGTACGCGTGCGTAGCAATCACCTCGGTGCGCCCGTCGCCATTGGCGCCGAGGCCCTGGCCCGCACTCCAGCCCATCTTGGCCAGCATCCCGGCACCCTTGGACTGCGGTGGCGGTGGCGGCCGGGCGGCCGCTACTGCTGCCGTTGTCGTCTTCTTCTTGGTGGCTGTTGCTGTTGTTGTTGCTGCTGCTGCTGCTGCTGCTGATGAGGGCTTGCCGCCATGCGGCGGGACCTTGGGCTTCGCCGGCTGATTAAAGACCTCTCTACGTTCCTTGGCCCGGTCTCGGTACTGGGGTCCCGATTCCTCGCCCCCCTTGGGCTGCTCGTCCGCCTGCTTCGCCGCCATCCTCTTGTCTCGGGCAGCCAGGCGGGGCTTGGCGGCCTTGACCTTGTCGTCGTCCGCCATGGCGTTCTTGTGGTTCCTCGATTTTTCATGCGTGTTGAGGTCGTCCAAGGTCTTGTATTTCATCATGCAGATCAGGCAGCAGATCTTCTCGCGGTCGACGTACGACACCGCTGCCTCCGCCGTCGATGTTGGGTCTGGGGTTCCGCTGTCGGTCGTCGCTGCGGGCACAGATGTCGGGCCTCCAGATTCCAGCGCAGCCTCGCTGGGTGGCGTGGCCGTCGGTGCCGGGGACTTTGGCAGGCTCGCTCCCGACAGCGAAATTTTGATCGGGCCGGCTGAAATCGCGTTTGAGCCGGACAGCGAGATCTTGACGGGCGCGCGCTCCTCGGACCGTCGCGGGTCGGCGCCGTTGTCGTTCCCGGTGGAAGCGTCCGCAGCCCGCTTGCCCTCGTGGATTTCGTCATGCCGCCTCTGCCAGAACGCCATTTGGCCAGCCATCGGTACAGACTTCTTGGTTGATGAGGAGGCCAGGTTTCCATCTGCCTTGCGCTTCTTGTTCTTCTTGGACTCTTCATTCGCATCAGTCTTGCTTCCGTCCGTAGCGGTGCCGCCGGGAGGGGCCTCGGTGATGACTCTTTCGCTGGGGTAGACGTGCGGCTCCCAGTACTTGACGCGGAGGGCCGGGTTGAACAACGGGTTGAAAGAGACGCGCTCAATGGCACGAGTGACCTCGCGGAGTTCTGGCACAAAGACGCCGAGATGGATGGTGGAGACCGTCACGGGTTCCGAGGCAATGGTGAATTCGCGCATCATCTTGAACTTTTTCATCGCTGCCAAAGCATCCTCCACGGTCCAGAATTCGGCGAACCCAAAGTTGAAGGACTCGTTCGTGTCCTGGTCTCGCATCAGGAAGGTGCGATGCAGCGAGCCTGGCCTGGCACCGTATCCAGATGCGTCACCGGTAGGCGCAGTAGACTTGAGCTTCGGCTGGTCGCCGGAGCCCTTCGAGGCCGCCGGCCTCTGCACTAGTTGGAGCTTTGCGGCGCCCGCTGAGAACACATCCTCGTTGACCGAGGGTGCCAACGGAAAGAAGACCAAAATCTGTGAAGGGGTGTCAGCGGCATCGCTTTCGCCCGTCAGCAGATGCCGGTATTGCGATGGATCTACCAAGGTTAGCACGAGGTTACCGAGCAAGCACGCATGCAACGACCAAGGCGCAGACAGCATACCTGTAGGCGGACCACCGCAGTTTTTGCAGCGGTTTCTCGTTGCGTAATTTGAAAAGTCGCACGTGGGACAGTTCCAGTTGGGCGTTAGGCCGGCGCGACTATCCCGCTCGGCGTCGTCGCGGTTCCTGGCGTAATGAATGTAGATGGAGGTCATTCCATCGGCGTCACCATCCACCAAACCGGCAAAGTCAAGCACCAGCTTGGGGTAGTTCTCTTTGACGAAGTCGATGGCGTTTTCGACGCTGCCGAACTGGACGAAAGCACGGCGTTGGCCTAGGATGGGGGGGTCATGAGCGGCTGCGGAGGGGATTTCGGGAGGGACGTCCTTACCTCGTCCAGAAGGAAGGCGAATGTCGACGGCTGGATATCGGGAAAGACGGGCTTGTCCGAGAAGGCAGTCTCTGACGTCGTCCAAAGATAGGCCAGTGGGTAGGCCTTCGAGGATCACAGTATCACTGGGAGCACCAGCTTGTCGAAGAGGCGATGCAGAACGATCGCGACGAGGATAACGACCTGGGCTGCCACCTGGAGAGGTGGAAAGATGACGAAAATCCTCGTCAGAACCATATCGGGCATCATGGCGGCGAGGACCATTGTCGTAGTAAGAGCGAGGGTAGCCCCGGCCACCTCGATCGTGACGACGTGGTCCGCGGTCGTGGCCGTCATGTGGGTGAAGTAGCGGAGGGTCTTCATGACGGCGATCCATATCGTCATGCCCAGGACCGCCTTGATCTCTCGATCCAGGACGTGACTGGTAGGCCTCGGACGGCGGTCCATGATAGTAGCGATCGTAGTCTCTGGCGCGGTGCTCTGTGGTGTCACGGTCCCAGTAGCGATCCCGAGAGCGATCGGGGTCGCGTTGACGGGCGTCCTCTGCGGCGTAGCTGTCGTCGTCGTCGTCGTAGGACAGCTCGAGGTTGTTTCTGGGGGGAGACCTAGAGGCGTCTCGTCGTCCCGTGGGGAAGTTAGCGGAAGCTCAAACCAGCCAGACGTTCTGCGGATGGTCATGTCCCCCGCAGGCTCAGCTTAGTCTCTTTACCCTGCCGCGTCCGATGGCCGTCGTTGTGTGGATGGTGGTGATTATGATCTCGCAGAGGGGATCTTTGCCGATCGTAAGGTCCCCTCTCGGTCGAACGATGGGTGCCCTCGTACATGATTGCAGGTCGCAAGAAGACGGGGTGATGTTGCACTGTGGGTAGGTACGCGGATTTCGAAGGAAATGCGACCGTCTCTATAGACTTTTCTTTGGCGGTTTCGGCGGGAAACAGAAGAAGAAACGAGGCGAGGGGAGTCGAGTCGAGTCAAGGCACGCGGCGCTGAGCCCCTGGATCCGAGGCAAGCGGCCAGACCGTGTGCCTTTTTTTTTTTTTTCGATCTTCTTTTGTTGCTTCAACTCGGCAGTGAATTTATCGGTGGAACAAGAATGCCGAGCCGCCTCGGTGTGTCGGAGGGGCGAGGTTGAAGAAGGGACGATACGATACGATAAATCGATCTGATCAATGTTTGCTGGGCTGGCCGAAGCTCAACCTCATGCCGCCCGCCCTGGACTGTACGCAGTGTGCATACAGCCTTACCTTATCTGTCTGTGTCGCTTAGTCATGCGGGGTCTCGGAGCAGGGTTCTCGATAACAGATGGCCGGTGGCGCTTACCCTCTGCATTACCTAAGGTTTGTAAGTACCTCTACGCCATATCTGGGAGCAGAGTACATATCGCACTGAGCGCCTCTCTGTAACACAAATCTAGCAGAGGCCGGCCAGTGGAGGGGATGGACTTAGTAACGACCAGCTGGGCGAAGTCAAGGGAGCCGGGATGGTTTGATGGTGAGTTAACTGGTTTACTCGGTAAGCATATTTCAACGGTAAATAAGAGTTTTGTCATCGTCTTCTTCCGTTTTCAGATACCTTTCAGGAACGCGTTCCGTCGCCCTCTCACTAAGAAAGACGTCAAACCCCGCAGTTCTGCTCTTAGCGGGCAGCGGACCCTCCATTGTCGAATCGAAGCAGGTGACGGAATCGTCAAATCACTGTTCACGGGGAAAGGAAGACACACCTACCTACCCTCAGCATCGTCTATTATTCCATCCCATATAGCCCGAAGCCATAGCCGAAGCCAAGATCCAGGGCAACTCACGCAATGGAACCGCAAGATCGCGGGCCGTGGGAGGCTTCGGAGGGCCCCTGTTACGTCGCCCTCACCTACGACGTCCTCGACGCCGCGTCCGTCATGAACCGAGTCCGCTCGCCGCAGGCCGGAGCCATCGTACTCTTCTCCGGCACCACGCGCGACAGCTTCGGCGACAAGCCCGTCAAGGAGCTGCAGTACAGCGCCTACATCCCGCTAGCCCTGCGCACCATGCTGTCCATCGCCAAGGGCGTCCTCGAGAGGCACGGCCTCAAGGGCGCCGCCATGGTCCACCGCCTCGGCACCGTGCCCATCGGCGAGGAGAGCATCCTGATCGCCGTGTCGTCGCCGCACAGGCAGGCGGCCTGGAGGGCGGGCGAGGAGGCCCTGGAGGAGTGCAAGGCCAAGGTCGAGGTGTGGAAGCGGGAGGAGTTCCACGGCGAAGAGGGCGTGTGGAGGGCGAACCGAGACGGCATCGCGGGGCAGAAGGTGCCCGACGCGGAGAAAGAGGCCGGGGACCAGACGCAGCCATGATCCCATGATTCCGCGGCTCTCGTTTAGAAACGGAAAATCCAAATGGTTCCGTTCTCCGCCCCCTTGCTTGTCAACAATCAACTTTCAACCATGCATCTTCATCATCTTCATCGTCATGTCCAAGAGAGACAACCCCCCAAGCATTGCCGACTTCAGCCAGTATCCAAATACACCCTTTGGCAGGCTACCAGTGGCGACTTGTTTACTAACGGTGCCATCGGCGGAATGTTGAGAAATTGAGCGCATGCCGCGTTCCGGTATTTAGGAAGCTCCTTGACTCGAGAAGAGAAGAAGGAGAGACATGCTGCGAATGCTGTTTGGCCTGGCCAAGTCTCGATCGCGCGTGTAAGCCGTGCGACACTGGAAAGCGTCGGTCGGGATGGAACAGGCCGGATCTGGGTAGCCGGAAACCAAGCCCGGCACTCCGTGGCATGTCATCGCATACGGCGCGAAGATTGCTTTGTTGCCAGGCCGTGCATGCACCCCCCCATTGGCCCCGGCACCTTTACAGACATTCCCGCCGTGTCACCGGTACGCAGCGTTGAGAATGCAAACAACGCCTACCTGTGGTCGATCTGGCGCGAGACATTGAAACTCTTGCATGTTTACATGTATGCTGGGCAACTCTTGGCAGCGCCGAGAAAAGCCACCTCCATTGTGGACAAACTGTTTGCCCCTTCGTTCCCCCAAAACCTCCATTCTTCTTCTTCTCTCTCCTCTACTTCCCCTATCAACTCACTCATCGCTCCCGGTAAACAAACACAAGCAGCGCCAAGCCAGAGTTGTGGACCGAGATTCGAAATGCCTTGTGCTGGACTCTCCACCGCCCGCCATCTCTCCCCTTGTTTGGAACGGCACCGAGTGCGCCGCCTCCCTCCGGCTCAGCATCCCCGGATGAGCGAAGCCCTTGGGAGATCATCGTCGGTCGCCTGGCGCGCGCTGGATGTGATGGAAGTTTAGTCCTCAGTCTCAGCGGAGGGGCGGCACACTCTCCCATGTGGAGCAGCCATTTCCTACAGGCTAGCTCCAATGGTCCAAATTCAATCTCGAGACGGGACTACATACGCCAACCCATAATTCCGGATGAGATGCGAGCTCCCCCCCCGGTCCTGTGAGGACAGAAAAGAAAGGGTGGTCCCGCCACTCGTTTCTGGGCGGGAATAGCGCCCTTGCTTTCTTCGTCCTTCTTCTCCGTCATTGTCGTCGAGTTTCCGCTGTTCATGTACTGCTGCGAATTACATAGTAATTGTTGCCGGAGCCAGGGAGATCTTGCACACGCGGGTTTCCGAGTCTCCGCATCGTGAGCTTCCTCTGGGAGGGCGGAGCAGCAACAGGGTACCGAGACTAGCCTCCCGGAACAACCACGACAGAGAGGCACCGATCGGCTGCTGTATACCTAGCTAGTTGCCTAACCTAGGATGAGACTATGCAGGGCTTTCGCCCTCTTGGCCGTGACGCACGAGGGCGCCTCGCAAAAGGTCGTCTCGGCCAGCTTCCACCGGGTCCAGTTCCCGCCTGACCTGGAGCAGATGACGCGCCGCGACACCCCCAGCCTCGCGGCCATCAACAACATCACCGGCGGCGGGTACTACTCGACGGTTCAGGTCGGCACGCCGGGCCAGAAGGCCATGGTGCAGATCGACACGGGCAGCAGCGACACGTGGATCCTCGACAACCAGGCCGATCTGTGCTCGAGCCGCTCCCTGCAGCGCCAGTACGGGACGGGCTGCACCGAGAGCTTCAACTCGAGCATGAGCTCCACCTTCAAGCTCGTCAGCGCCAACGACTTCGACGTCGCCTACCTCGACGGCAAGCGTATCCGGGGGGACTACATCCAGGACGTCGTGAGCTTCGGCGGCAAGACCATCAAGGACCAGCAGCTGGGGCTGGCCGTCCAGACGGTCAGGGCCGCGGGTCTCTTGGGCCTCGGACTCACCGGGGGCACGACGTCGAAGCGCGAATACCCCACGATCCTCGACAACATGGTCAAGCAGGGCCAAATAGGCCGGAAAGCCTACAGCATCTGGCTGGTACGGATAACAGCCCGTCTCCTCTCCTATCCTCCTCGTCGGGCCTCAACCCCCCTCCCTTTGCTAACCCGTGAAAAAAACTTTGCAGAACGACCTGTCTTCGGCCGAGGGGATCATACTTTTCGGGGGCGTCGACACGGAAAAGTACATTGGCAAGCTCACGACGCTCCCGCTCGTCAATGACTACCAAACGGGCAAGGCCACCAGCTACAGCGTGGCCCTGACGGGCGTCGCGATCGAGGCGCCCGGCCAAAAGGCGGTGGAGATGGCGGCGGCGGCGGCGGGGGGGGGCTCGTTCAACGCCTCGACGGTGCTCGACTCCGGGGCGACCGTGTGCCTGCTCCCGGACCGGCTGGCCAAGGACATCTGGGCCAAGTACGGCGTCCTCGACAGGGGGTACGGCGTCCTCGACTGCGCGTGGAGAGGACCGCAGGGCGAAGGCCACGTCGTCGAGTTCGAGTTCGCCGGGGGCGGGGGCGTCCGGATCCGCGTGCCGCTCGAAGAGATGGTGCTCGACAGCCTCGGCGGCGTCGCCCAGGGCGGCAGCGTGCCGTTCGACCGGCCGTGCCTGTTCGGGATCCAGAGCAGCGCGACCTTTGGCGTCGAGGGCGACGGGTTCGCCCTCCTGGGGGACACGTTCCTGCGGAGCGCGTACGTCGTGTACGACGAGGCCAACCGGCAGATCGGCATCGCCCAGGCGAACCTCAACGCGAGCCGGTCCCACGTCATCGAGCTCCGCGCCAACGAGACGGCGCTGCCGACCGCCACGGGCCCGGCGGGCGGGGACGCTGATACCACGTCGCCGCCGGTCATGACGACGACGACGACGACGGCCGCGGGCGAGTCTGCGGCGCCGACGGCGAGCGAGTCCGCGAACGCGGCGGCGCCGCGAGGAGGCGCGACGTCCTGGGGGCCAGGCGGGTCTTTCGTCACGTCCTTCGTATCTGTGTTCGCCGCGGCGGGTGCAGTGCTTCTGGCGGTTTGAGGGCCATGGCTTTTGTTACCTTGGCTTACGTTGGTATAGGCACTTGGCACGCCGTCAGAGATGCTGGTTTCTGCCAGTGGGTTTTATTCGCATTGCTGACGGAGTTTTGGGGGGGGTGAAGCATCTTGTCCAGGCACTGCCAAAAAGGAAAAGACTCAATACATAATCCTAATAGCCATTGTTTCTCTCTTTTTTTTTTCTTTTTTTTTTCGGCATGAGTATGATTGATGCGACTGTAGACTTCGTCCCGCTGTGACCGTGACATCTCCCCCGGTCGTGGCGTGACCCAGGTCGTCGTCCCAAGCCAACGGTGCGTTGTCGTTGTGGTAGAGTTTAATATAAGCCCGTTGGTTGACGCGCACCGGTGGAGTGGCCGCATCCGAGACCTTCCGAAAGTTTTTTTTCCTTTTTTTTTCTTTTTTTCTTCATGCGCTTTTCAACCACTCGTGTGCTAACCCGGTTTGCGGCTTTTCACATTCACCCCTCCACTCATTTTTCCCTCCCGAACTCGGCTTCCCATTGATTCATCCTGCTCTCGAATCATTCACCAGAGATACCCATCGGGAGGTCCCCTTTTTGCAATTGAGCATTTATTTCTCCAAGCGCCGTCTTGGACCAGTTCATCCTTCGAGCTCTCCCAAACTCTCACTTTGGAAAACCCGTCTGCCCCTCCATCGGAACCCCTCCAAGGAGAGAAAAAAAAGAAGAAGAAAAAGAACACAGACCAGTTGATTTTACCCCTCCACCCCACTCACTCTCTCACTCACACTCACATTCACACTCACACTCTCACTCACATACACGCTGTGCAACACACACTCGACGCACTCGACCACAATGGCCACCGCCAGCGTCACCTCCGTCGGCCTCACCGGCCTCAAGAAGATCGGCCAGGGCAAGGTCCGCGACGTCTTCGAGGTCGACGACAAGACCCTCCTCTTCGTCGCCTCCGACCGCGTCTCGGCCTTTGACGTCGTCATGAAGAACGGCATCCCCGACAAGGGCGCCATCCTCACCCACGCTTCCGTAAGTGGAAAACCCGAACCCTCCCCCCCGTCGTACCGTACTTCAGACGCAACGCCGTTCCATCTCTCTCTCTCTCTCTCTCTCTCTCTCTCTCTCCCCCCGAACCTTTTTGTTCTACTTTACTTTCGTGCTAAAGCAAAGCCCGTACCGGGAACCGTAGGCCCACTGGTTCAAGGTCCTCTCGGACCGCGTCCCCGGCCTCAAGACCCACTTCCTCACTCTGGACCCCCCGGCCGGCCTGCCCGCCGCCGACGCCGCCCTCATCAAGAACCGCTCGATGCAGGTCCGTCGGCTCAAGGTCATCCCCCTGGAAGCCATCGGTACGTATCGCCACCTCTCACTCGCCTCCCCTCGGCTGACAACCCTCCCCCGGCCAGTCCGCGGCTACATCACCGGCTCCGCCTGGAGCGAGTACAAGGCCAAGGGCACGGTACACGGCATCCGGGTGCCCGAGGGCATGCAGCAGTCGCAGGCCTTCGAGACGCCGCTGTACACGCCCAGCACCAAGGCCGAGCAGGGCGAGCACGACGAGAACATCCACCCGGACGAGGCGGCGCGGATCGTCGGCGACGCGGCGCTCGCGCGGCGCGTCGAGGAGCTGGCCCTGGCGCTGTACTCGGCGGCGCGCGACTACGCGCGCGAGCGCGGCATCATCCTCGCCGACACCAAGTTCGAGTTCGGCGTCGACCCGGACACGGGCGACGTCGTCCTCGTCGACGAGGTGCTGACCCCCGACAGCAGCCGGTACTGGCCCGCCGACGGCTACGCCGTCGGCCGCGACCAGGAGAGCTTCGACAAGCAGTTCATCCGCAACTGGCTCGTCGAGCACGCCCTCAAGGGCAAGGAGGGCGTCGAGCTGCCCGAGGACGTGTGCCGCGCCACGGCGGACAAGTACAAGGACGTGTTCGTCAAGCTCGTGGGCAAGAGCTTCGACGAGGTCATCGCGCAGTCGTGAGAGATTGGGGAGGGTAGAAGCATGCGGTTTAGGAACGGTGGTTTTTTTTTTTTTTTTTTTCCGGGGGGGTTTTATTTTTTTTCCATGTCAGAGGCTTGATGCTGGCTGCTCGCCTTGCGATGTGTTTAGTACGGAAGAATGAGAAACAAAATAAAAATAAAAAATGAACGAGAGATTGCGATCAATTGTTTGTTGGTGTTGGCGGCCGCCTGCACGAGAGACTCGCGCTGCTGATTTCATGGCCGGAGGCCAAGGAACCATCTAAGCATAGCCAATGCACTGTTTTATATCTGACCCCGTTGTTCCAGGCGATCCCCTTGTAGACAACCCAAATTCGCCCTTACTATAGCGCTTGTTTCCGGGTTCGAAACCCGGACACCTCTCATATAGCTCTTGGGCGCCCGCTTACGTATCATCAGATGAACACGGAGTTGAACCCTGGCCCAAGGCCTGGACGCGGCCCTGTGTCATGAGCGAACTGTAATATAAGTCCCGCCAACAATGGGCGATGGTCTTGTCTAACTCTAGGGGCATCTAGCACACACCGTCTACGCGTCCAGTTTCAAGCGGTCCAGCACCGCGTCGATCTTTCCGAGCAGGATCTGGTAGTTGATCGCGTCCGACGCGAACTCGTCCTCGGCCACCTCCCCGCCCAGGGTCTTGACGCCCCCGTCACCCTGGCCACCGTCCTCCGCAGAAGGTACGGCGGGTGCCACTTCCCGAGGGCTGGCAGCAGCAGCAACGCGCTCGCCCTTCTCGTCGACCTGCCGCTCGCTCTCCGCGGCGAGGGTCTCGGCTACGGCGGCGTCGATCTCGCCCTCCTCGTCCATCATCTCGTCCAGGTTGGCGTCCTCGAAGCGCAGGCGGAAGCGCTCGCCCAGGTAGTACCGGATGTCGTCTAGCAGCTCGATCGTGTCCGTCTCCTGGCGGTCTCTGATCCTCTCGGCGCTCTCCTTGATGAGCTCGCCGAACTCGGGCTCGTCGATGTAGTCCTCCAGCCGGTCGGCGAGGTACCGCGCGGCGAACTCCTCGAGGCGCTGCACCCTCAGGTCCCAGGCGGCGTGGATCACGTCGTAGATATTGACGGGCTCCATCTCGGGCTGGCCCGCCCCCTCCCTGTCCGCCGGGGCGTGGGTGCGGTCGGCCCACACGTTAGCGTTACCGCTGCCCAGGGTGCTGATGGCTTGCGCCGCCTTGGTCTTGAGCTTGTCGAGAAAGAGGATGTCGGCCGTGTACAGCAGGTCCAGGGCGAGGTCCAGCGGGCAGTCGACCTTTTCGGTGTAGAGGAAGGTGAGGACGATCTCGAGGACGTCGGGCGCGCAGTCCACGCTGACGACGTGGAGGTGCTCCGAGTCCTGCGCCTCCTTGAATTCGCTGGAGAACATGGTCTCGAAGTACGGGCTGCGGATGAGCATCGCCTTGTGCACGGGGTAGACCACTGACTTCCTGGGCCTCCGCTTCGGCTTGTCGCCGTTGGCGGTCGGGCCGAGGGGGATGCCGTTGAGGTGGACGACGTCGTCCGCGTCGTCCGCGTCGTCGTCCGTCCCGTCGCCCTCGGGCTCGTGCGCGCAGAGGAGGCAGTCGGCGAAGATAGAGTTGTCGTGCCGCCACTTGACGTCGGCCACCCGCTTCGTCTCGACGACCATCTTGTGGCCCAGGACCTTTTCGCGGTAGAACCGCTCGACCTGGCCCTGCGCGCGCTTCACCTCGTCCTCGTACCGCTGACGCGCGAGCCGACGGTCGTTGCCGGCGAGGATGGCCTCCCAGAGCTGGTCGATCTCGAGGTGCTTGCTCAGCTTGTCGATGCCGGTGAGGACCTCCTCCTCCGTCACGGTGCTCTGGGCGTTGAGCACGTCCCTCGGGACCTCGCCGAGGTAGAGGTAGCGCAGGGCGACCTGGAAGGACTCGAGCGGGAGGGTGGGCGGCAGCCTCCAGGTCGTGGTGTCCGGGGCGTCGGCCAACTTCTTCCTGAAGTAGGGCGTCCGTGCGGCCAGGAGGAACTTGTGCAGGTCGAAGGACTGCGCTGCCGCGATCAAGCTAATGTCGGTCGTCTTGGGGACGTGCTTTGTGAGGAGGCTGGTGATGTGTCCCGCCCAGGGTTGCAAGGGGTCCGTGGATTTGGAGTAGTCGTACTCTAGGAGAAGATTCCGTATCTTGTCATTGAGGGCGTTGTATATGCATCGCTCTCCTTGGAATGTGTTTCTCTCAGCCAGAGCACCTATTCGGGGACCCCCCCCCCCCCCGTCAGCGACGCTCGTATTGAAGCATGGGGTGGTACTCGCCCGAATCCAGGAGCAGCTTTACGAGCTCCAAGTGACCACAAAGGCTTGCCTTGACAGCGGCGCCCAATTAGTGACATGCCAGCCATGTCCTCCTCACCGGGTGGCACTCACAATAATCAGAGGGGTGTAGTCAAAGCGGTCCTTGCCGTTGATGTTCACACCGGCCGAGATGAGTTCTTGACACGTTTTCAAGTCACCCCTTCTGCAGGCCAGCAAGAAGGCCTCGAACTCGACTGATTGGTCCAAGGGGTTGTCCTCTCTCAGCACGCCATTTTTGATCAATTCTTTCTCGTTTTTGAGCTGTATTTCGAGTTCGTCTTTCCGAAGCACCATCGTGAAGGCGTTGCTTGGAAGAACAGTCCAGCAATGTGTCTAGCCAATACCCCAGCAGAACGAGACCAAAGAGGCAAAATGCACCAAAGAAGAGGATATATCCCAGAAAATCGCCTCAAGATTCGCACACAATCAAGGAGGAGAACGAGGTGTTGATTCACTGGTCACGTCAAGTCCGATATCTCCATGTTCTAACGAGTCGCCTCCGCACGGACCACGTGAGACCTGCCTACTAGGAACCTGCCTAGGTAGGTGTGTATGTACATAGTATCCGTACTCCGTACTTTCCTTCCCATTGTGCATCATCATCGGGCGCCCCACTTATTGACCCCTCGGTGTCCTTATCGATAAGAGCTGTCCTGATCTGGCCAGAATAGTGGGTCCCAGTGACGCAGGAAAGGAATATCTCACATCCGGCACTAGTGCCGTTGCCATGGCATCCACCCCCTTGTTTACCCGAAGCTCCATCCTGTTAGTGCCCATGCAACCAGCAACCAGCCTTCGTTCACCAGCTTTGACTTGCTGTGCACTTTCCCGGTCAACCACCACCAACAAGCTACGATACTAACAACAGCAGGTTCGCGACGACGCCTTCAACTGCTCCTCAACTTCTATGGATACAAACAAAGATCCCCTCTAATCAAGTTCATCGCGCGTTGTGTCCAACATGACCTCAGAGGCGGATAAGTACGAGGTGCTGGAGAAGATCGGTATGCACACCCCGTTCACAAGCTTTTCACCCCCGTGATGCGATCCATTTCAGCAGCTTCCCGACTGACGCATGCAATCAAACAGGCCATGGATCCTTTGGAGTGATCCGCAAGGTTCGGAGAAGGGTCGACGGCCTCGTCATGTGCCGCAAGGAAATCAGCTATCTCAAGATGTCGCAAAAGGAGCGCGAGCAGCTCCACGCCGAGTTCCAGATCCTGTCTACCCTCCGCCATCAGAACATCGTCGGCTACTACCATCGCGAGCACCTCAAATCATCGCAAGACCTCCACCTCTACATGGAGTACTGCGGCAACGGCGACCTGGGTCGCGTCATCAGAGACCTCGCAGTCAAGGGCCAGCGCGCCCAAGAGTCATTCGTGTGGAGCATCTTCTCGCAGCTGGTTACTGCCCTCTACCGGTGCCACTACGGCATCGACCCCCCGAGGTCGGCAGCAACGTGCTCGGCCTCTTCAGCACCGCTTCCAAGCCCAAGCCGCCGCCCGGCACCATGACCATCCTGCATCGCGACCTCAAGCCCGAGAACGGTACGTTTCGTCGCCCCGCCAGCCGACGTCGTGTTTTGCTAATAACAAGATAGTCTTCCTGGGCGAGGACAACTCGGTCAAGCTTGGCGACTTTGGCCTGTCCAAGATGATCCAGTCTCACGACTTCGCCTCCACCTACGTCGGCACGCCCTTTTACATGTCGCCCGAGATCTGCGCCGCCGAGAAATACACCCTCAAGTCCGACATCTGGTCTCTGGGATGCATCATCTATGAGCTCTGCGCTCGCGAGCCGCCCTTCAACGCCAAGTCGCACTTCCAGCTCGTCCAGAAGATCAAGGAGGGCAAGGTGTCGCCTCTGCCCAGTTGCTATTCGAGCGAGCTGATGGGCACCATCAAGGACTGTCTGAGGGTCAACCCCGACCACCGCCCAGACACCGCCCAGCTTCTCAACCTTCCCGTCGTCCGGCTGATGCGAAAGGAGAGGGAGGTTGTCGAGCTCAACAAGGTCGTCAAGACCAAGGAGGAGTCTCTGGCGCGTCGCACCAAGGAGCTTGAGGACAAGATGGCCGCCTTCGAGGCCGATAAGGCCTCTGTCCGACAAGAAGTCGACAGCTCACTACGGAGGGAATGGGAGGTCAAGGCCCGTCTCGAGATCGACCGACAAATCAACACGGAAATCGAGGCCCTTCGTAAGAGGTTTGAGAGCGAGGTGCAGGCTCGCGTCGAGGCGGAGCTGCAAAAGAGGGCCGTCGAATCCGCCCAGGCACAAGACCTCGGCAGCTCCCTGACAAAGTCCGAGTACCCGCGGTCGTCAGTTGGCAACGGCAGCGGCGATGAGGAGCTCTCGACCTCGACTGACCTCACCGACGTCTCTACCGACAGTCCCCTCACGAACAAGAAGGCCACCCGCACGCCCTTTGGTCGAGCCCAGACCATGTTCGTCGGCGGCATGGGCACTCCCATGGACATTGAGATGGCGTCTCCTTCGCCCATCAACATTGCTTCTCTATCGCTGTCTCCTCGACGCACCGCCGCCACCAGAGTACCGAACCTTAACAGCGGAAACATCTTCTCTGAAAACACGGGCGGCGCGTCGAGCGATCCCATGTGGGACCTCCGCGATAACATCAGCCTCGACTCGGACGACGAGGACGTTGTCCCCTCGCCGACGCGCAACATCAAGTCGAGGCAGAACCCCTTCACCTCCAAGGATCGCCCGGTCCTGTCCTCTCAGAAGTCGGTTCCCGTGGCCCGAGTCAAGCCTCAGTTCTCGGCGACCGGCCTGAACCAGAACAAGACGTTGCCTACTCTGCCCAGCGTGGCTTCCAACCCCGACTTGGGCCGTGGTCTCCGCGAGCGGAACCAGTCTCCCCACCGCCGATTGACTAAGATTCCTTCGGCGGCCAACTTGACTAGCACGAGCGGCAGCGAATCGCCCGGCAGTCTTTCCCGCAAGAACTCGGCCAAGAAGGATCAAGAGCCCCTTGGCAAGCTCGCGGCCAAGAACAACATCAAGGGCAGAACGCTGGTCGAGCTCCAGCAGGCGCGGGCGGGCGGCCGTCCGCTTTCGGCGGTCGTGTCTGGCGGCGAGAACGTCAGCCCCAAGAGGGCGTTCAAGGACCGCATCGCGGAGCGTCGGGCCAGTGGCGGCGAGCCCGTCGCGGTGTGGGATCCCGAGCGGGACGAGATGCCCAGTCCGTTCCTGGTGCGACGCAAGCCCATGGCCAGAGTCTAAGATGATTTCTTTTCTATCGGCATAAACACGAGCGTTGGGTGGCGAAGATACCAAAGCATGCACAAGAGTCATTCATAGGGGTGTCGTTCTGTTATTTTCTTTCCTTGCTTTTTCTTTGCTGTTGTCACCAACTCTCGCTATCATCCCCTCTCTCCTTTGTTCTGGCGGCACCGCCTTAAAAAAACAAAAGTTGGAGGCCACTCGGATGGAGGTAATTGTGTGTGGTTTATTCACAACAATCCTGGGTCCCGGTGATGATCCGACGGGACTCTCGAGTTGCACACACTTTATGAAGATGATTTTCAGAAGGTGTTGGGTTGGGACGGAATGGTGTTGCAGGACTCGGCTGGGTGTCATTTTCAACATTGCAGACGCTGTCTAACCGGCGTTGGGTAGATTGATTTGTTTTGCGGACGGACTATACTTTGTACAAGTTGCATCATGGTTCCCAGGTGTAGTTTTATTACGGACGAGAGACAATATCCACCTCTCTTCGAGCATCTTCCTCTTGCGTTGCTGTTTGCCTCACCTCTTGTGTGTGATGCCACCCCCCCCCCCTTCCCCGCCTGCTCGATCTTGCAGACCTGCCCGTACAACGGTATGCAATACGATATCTCTGTACGCCTCAGCCTCCTCACGAGTTACTTACTCTATGCGGAGGTACATACACAGGTCATCTCCGAGACATGCAGTCGTTTTCCACCGCGCACGAAGCACGATGTCGCCCTCAAAAGCATATATATGTCAAGAAGTCCAAGACATTCCGGGGGTGCTAAGGGGGTTTGGCTTATTGGCCAAAGGGCCTGGGAAAGGGCCATGCGACACGAGACACACACTCACCGGCGCCATCCCATTCCAGATGGCCTCGAGAGGACCCGACGCCATGTTGTCTCCTCGGTTCTGGCAGCGCTGCTCTGTCGCGGCCAAGACACTACAACGGGCCCTAAAGCGCAGCGAATCATTGATGGGGGGGGGAAAAACGCACATTTGCTTTTCTGGTTGTCGTTGTAAGCTTCTGGTAAGCAAGATCGTCCCCCAATACGACCCCCCTGGACCGACCTCCCCCCCCTTTTCTGCATGGCGCCACGTTAAACATGCATCCCACGCCATCGTATCTTCGTCTAACCATGATCTCATACCTCGTGACTTCGCAAGAGGACCTTTGAGGATCGACGCGCATCAAAGGGGAAGGGGCCCCGGCTGTTCGAAGTGCCGAGTGGGCTACCGGTATGACATGCACGCACATCCTATATCCAAAAGAAAAACACCACGGGTACACGAGAGCTTCTTAACACGACCCCCCCTCGCGCGCATCACCTACCTAGCGCGCGGTGAGGCAGATCAGTTTGGGGGGGGAACTGCCGGTACATGATAATATGAGAGAGGGCGCAGCGCAAGGAGAGCTCGAACAATGGTATGGTGTTTGGTGATCGTCAATCGCTAAGGGGAGCACCATACGATCAAACGACGACGTACCTGATTGCGGGCGTCTGATTCATTAGTTCCGTCTTGTTTTTTGACAGACGGGACGGTGGGCCGCGGAGGGGAGACGCCTGTCTAGCTTGCTTTGGATCGACATACACCATCATCTGCTTCCCGCGTTGACAGCTCAACGCTGGCTGTGCGCTTGTCAACACGGTGGTGAGTATCCGTAGAGCACACGGTTGATTCCGTCGGCTCGCTCGTGTGTGCTGGGCCTAATTCGATTTAGGATTGGCGCTCTTTCGACATGTTTGCTTTTTCGTGCCTCGCTTACTTGCTCTCTCCCTTGCTCACTCTCTCTCTCCCCTTACCAGTGCAGCGACCTTGCCGAGGGATCCCTCGGGATCGTCTCGCATGTGATAAACCCGGGAAGCATGGGAGGCATTGGGCACGGAGATGCTTCCCATGAGAGAGAGAGAGAGAGAGAGAGAGAGAGAGAGAGAGAGAGAGAGAGAGATGCAGCTTTTTTTTTCTTTCTTTGCGGTTTAAAATTCAGCCTCTAAAGAAGAAAAGGGGTCCGGTATCCCCTCGACTCCGCCCCCCCCCCGGCCCCCCCCGGGTCAACGGAGGCCAGGCCGCCTGAGGCAGAGAGAGACTCGGCGTGCGGATGGTTCGCTCTTTGTCTACGCTGACATGTGTCGCTAGCGTCTCGAGACACGCGAGGAGAGGCTAGCGAAGTGGTTGTCCAAGTCGGACTAGTGCCCCTGCAGAAAGGAGACATGGCCTGGGGCAATTGGAGGTTAGACATGCGGCTACATACTGCCTTGCTTTCCCAATATGGCAGGACGGTTCGAAGGGGAAAGTCAGATTTATCACATCACGATCGTGATGAAGGGGGAGATGGACGAGATCTAGACCAAATGAGGGTTGCCATACCGGTAACCTTGAAGTCTCTTTAGACCCTAGAAAGTTAGACTGTGCACGGGGTAGGAAGACGGCCCTTATCTTGCTGTGTCTTACGCACTAGTTCGTATAGACTAACGACGGTTTGTCTCAGGGGGAGGAAAGAAGAAGAAGAAAAAAAACAAGCGATGAGCCTCAAAGAGGAGACGGCCCAACGACATTTCTTCCGTCGCCGCCGTGACACTGGCGTGTTCCCGTACCAAACCACCGCCATCGAGAAGGACGGAGGAGGGCCATGCGAAGAAAGGGCAAGCTCTCTCCCTCCCTCTCCCCCCCCCTCCCAAAACGCGGTGTCTCAAGCCACGCAAAGGCGACGACAGAACCGGCTTCTAGCCGGAGACTTGCGAGCTTCGAACGCCAGCCATAACGGCAGCTAGAAGAATACCGACGCGCGGCCTAGAGCACTCAAGGGAGCGAGCGAGCGTTTCTGTCTCTCGTTTTCGTGGCGCCCCTCCCCCCGCGGGTGAGACAGACATGCGCGAGGGGGGGGGAGGGGAGGAAAAAACAAAACACCACATGCGAAGTCGTCGAGGTTGGCCGTTCCACCAAACTGTCCATGAAGCAAGCCCTAGAGAGGCCAAAGACCCTTTCTCTCTCTCTCTCTCTCTCTCTGTCTCTGTCTCTCACACTTCACCAATTAAGCCGACCACCTATCAACAACCCCGGGGGTGTGCCCCTGCCGCCAGTCGTGACAATTCTTGTGTCTCCGGCGAGGGGAAAGAAGTTTCTTCTCCCTCGGGAGATCCTACCGAGAACAGAAGTGACGTCCGCGTCGCGGGATCGCCAATACGTTGGTCTCTCGGGGTTTGTCAAGCTTCAACATGCAGCCGGGTGGTGGCAGGGCGTGGAGCGACAGCGGGAAACAAACATTGCTTTTCTTCTTCTACCCTCGAGACCTTCTTTTTTTTTTTGCCAACCTTTTCCCAAATGCGAGCACCACGGTGATATATGTAAGGACCACGTACTACACCACTCGGGCTTTTCTTGCTTTTTCCTCTTGTTTAACTTCTTTCTTTCGTCTCGCCTGTCTGACAAGGGTAACCGTCACACGTTCTAAAACAAGGTTGGAGGTCCAGATCGACCGCCGACATTAGCATGACTGACGACGTTCGAATCGGGTATTGTACCACCCTGTCCACTCCCCCCCCGGAGACCCATGTATGGCATGTATGCATATGCTCCTACATCCAAGCGGCCGGGGAGGGTTTGAACGAACGAACAGCCCAAAAGGGAGGGAGGGTGAGAGAGAGAGAGAGAGAGGGGATGAACTGAAAGCAACCGTGATGCAGGGCGTAGGGGAACGCCGTCAAGGGGGGCCAGCAGGTCAGTCTACTACTAGCAGCATCCGCAAGCCACGAGGTCGCTTGTCGAGAGCTCGGAGCACCGTATGGTATGGTCCCTTTCCGGGTCGATCTTTCAAATGTTTGCTAATGCAAGGCGCGTTTGCGGCACAGCGCAGCACAGTCGCGCGGAAGAGGTAGGGGGCGCCGGAGGGGGGGGGGACACGTTCGGACGTCGACCAGTTATAGAATTGGGACGGAGGGCCGAGGAGGATCACCGCCATCCCGCCGACGTGCATGATGAATGATGAAATGTAGTCATCTTTTCTTGCTTGCTGCTTTGGCCTCGGCACCGGGAAAGGCAAGTTAATTTCGGGGGGGGGGGAGGGGGACGCCTTACGGCTTCCGGGCCTCGATCACGCTTCCTCCCCCCTTCCCTCCACAGGCGCAAGGAGATTGGAGAGGAGAACGGGGGGTGGGGGGTGGAGGGACCATCTGCTCACCCGTCTCGATGGCTGGTATGCAGATATCTGTTCGGTCTTCTCTGAGCAGGCGATGCGTCCTGCTTCGGCTTGTTGCCGCGTGGCTGCTGACTATTGGGACGTACGCAGATGCCATCACACCCAGGAGCCGCCTTGCTTCCATTATCCTCCTCCTTCTAGATGCTCCCTGCGTTGCCAGCCCTGTAAACGTTGCCGTGACACTAGAGGTTCTGGACTAGAAGGGGGTCGAAGTCGAGACGGCTCGACTTGTGGCGCCTGCGGGTGCGGTAACTGAGGTATGTAAGGGCCGCTAGTGTTGTATCTTGACGGATAGACGGGCTTTCTTTCTCAGGTCTATCTCTCTCTCTCTCTCTTTCTCTCTCTCTCTCTCTCTATCTCTCTCTCTCTTTCTTGGCAACTCTTTCCAAGTGGCTTCCCGAATCCCAACTAGTCCCCCCCCTCCCCCAAAGCCAGCGGTTACGAGACACTGTTTTGCCTTTTGCTCGGAAACCTGTTTATACACCCACCGGCCAGCTTATCCAGCGAAAGCCGGAGCCGGCAGTGAGACTTTTGGTTGGGACTCGTTGATCGGCCGAAGGAAGAGGCGAGAGAGGCACACCCCTCTCCAAGCGGCGCAGATTTGCGAGATGGCAGTCTGGCCAGTCCCTTTCCTCCGATGGCTCAGAAGGCCCTCCAGGCATGCCGGCACCCAGCGATAAGACGGGGCACGTGGGAAGGAAAGCTCCGTCCGACTCCCGCGCCTGCGACGATCGTGGTGGATTTCCACCCTCTCCGTTGCTGCTGCATATCGCGAGCCTCTTTGCGAGTATCCATCCACCTACGCCCCCTTCCCCATCCCCATCCCCCCCCACCTCTCCTCTCCTTGCCCTACTCAGCATCAAGGCGTGTCTCGCTCTGAGTGGTTTTGCCCCCCTCCGAACCATCTCCTAAAGTCTCGTCCTGCAGCAAACCAGCGGAGTCTATCAAGGCTTAAGCTACTGCCAGGAAGAAAGGAGTCACGATACGGGTGGCCTCCGCCGTCCCCGTGGATGCGTTACAGTACGCAATTATGGATACGGCCTGCAGGAAAGAGGAGAGGGGGTAACGAACATGGAGGTGGTGGTCGCTGACGTGCTGGACTTTTCCGACACACCCACCCATAGATGGATATGCGTCGGTGATCATCCAGTGATCTTTGGTACGGCATATGCGGTTACCTTCCCTTACGTATGCTTCAGCAACCCTCCTCCCCCCCCATTTCCCTTTCCCTTTCCCTTTCCCCCATCTGCGAGCATGATGATGCCAGGGATCTTCGTCGTGTCAGGTGGCGCGAACCTGGAGGTCGAAGAGGGCAATCCTGCGGAGTTGGATGCTCTAGAGCCTCCTCCGGCTGGTGGGAATCTTGTCATATCACACCGGTAGCCAAGGGGAAGGAAATGGGGGGGAAAGGGGGGAGAACTGGCCACTGAGAGGTGGAAGACAGACAGCGTCGCCCGTCGGGACGGCTGCACGTCGAGTGGATGCCGGTGAATGGAGTGTACGATGTACAATGTACGGGTGATCTCGAGGTATGTGTCCTTCCCGCTCACGCGAACCGAGAACCCATTGCCCTCATCATACACGGGGGGGGAAGAGGGACATGGGCGAGCTAGACGGACGGAGATTTCTCTGAAAGACTTGGGAGACGACGGAGAGCTGATGTCAGAACGCATCGTCCCACCCCAGGCTCGACGGACGACGCTCATCTACTTGCTGGAATGAAGGTGGTATGAACGGGCTCGAAGGATGCTGATCGTCACTTGTTCCCGCCCACGGGCAAGCGGGTGAGTTTCCTGGAAACTTCCGGCCATCCATCCTGTATCCCCCCTACCACATACCACCTACCACCTACCACCCCCTACCCCCCCTTCCCTTCTGGGCCCCTGGGTGGATTGGGTATAACAACAACAAGGTGCGGTGGACGCGGACGAGCAGACTCCAAACTATTGGATCCGCCTGTTGGTATGCTGGAGGCAGGCAGGCAGCCGGTCTTCTTTCTCATGACTACCTCGTGAGTTCTCATCCATAGAACACTCACATCACACTCCCTCCCGGGACTACACCATCTCTCTTTCTCTCTTGTCCGAGAAGCACGAGCTGCTTTCGGGGTTTGGGGGGGGATGGGATCGTGGTGGACGCTACGATTTGCAAGATCCCTGGAAATGATCCTCTGAATCGCGGACTCCCTAGTCGGGCCCCTCACACGCCCCCCAGTCCCACGGTTCTCGATACGTATCCCAAGCACAGCCTCACCGTGCGACGGATAGGGAGGTGTGGGGGGGAGGCAGAGGAGTGGACACACCAAATCGAGGGAGGTTAAGCTCGACTCGGCTTCGTGCCGTTTTGTGTCATCAACTTGGCGTGCCGTTTAGCGTATGTACAGCATCCTTGGTCTCTCTCTCGACGAACTGCCTGTGACGGTACTGACAGCCAGTGGATTCTACACCACCATGTACGTATCGTCTGAGAGACGCCAACGCGCGCGAAAGGGGACGTGTGTATCTCTGCTGGGATTTGCCCTCCCCCCCTCTTTTCTTTGTCCGAGTCCCGGCGGCGAGGGAACTGTGGGCTGATGTTGTTTAGTTTTACGCGCCCACCGAGGTCGGTCCTTCTGATATAGGCAGGGTAGTTCCACCAAGGGCGGCACGCTGAGAGTTCGCCCTGAAAGTCTCCTTTCAGTCCGGGGGGAGGTTTTCTTCTCCTTTTCAGCCCGCCGTCGGGTGTCGGACTCTGACATACCGGGTACTATGTGTGTGTGTGTATACCGGCTCCAGTTTTGATCCAACAAACCCAAAGGTGCCTTGTTCCCAGCTTGTCAGGATGTAGGGCCCCAGAGGCTCGGTACCAACGGAGCCTCGCCGCGATGAACGACGTCAAAGGCAATTATCAAGGACGGTGATCGGTGGGGCGGACTCTCCAGCATGTACCACATAACGTAACGTCACGCACACGGATGGGAAAGACGGCAAATGGGTGGGAGAGTCTGCTTTTGAGGGGGGAAAAGGTCCAAGGGGGGGGCGCGCGAACGGGGGGGGGGGGGGGGGGGGGGAGGAGAAGGAGGAGAAGGAGGAGGACCGAGAAGGAGGAAGAAGAGGAGCAGCAGGGATAGGATCCTTGACCACGATGCAGTTGTCGGTTTGGGCATAGTTGGAGAAGTGGTGCCGAATCGCGCGCCTCGAAGCAGCCTCGAAGATGTGCTTTCTCGACCAGTGTCAGCCTTTTCCAAGGTGAAAGAAGAAGCTCTCTGGCAACAGCCGGAACTCACCCAACGGCTTGGTACTGGCCCGCTGCTTAACTGTGCCTTGCCTTGCCTTGCCTTCCCGGTACATCCATCCATCCATCCCTTGCCCCCGTCCCTCTTGCAATGTTGAATAGATAGGAGCCCCCCCCCCCGTGCGTGCGGTGGTAAGCTGCAGGTTCCCTTCTTATTCCTCGGATATTGATTCTCGAGTCGCAGTAGTCACATGCGCGGCGGCGGCAAGACCGTCGAGAGCAGTGGGCCGTCGATGGCAACAAAGTTGTAATATCGATATGTATCGATGAAAGATGTCCGTCCGCCCCAGCCGGGATAACTCCCCCCCCCCCCCCCCCCCCCCCTCTTCTCATCCCAGACACTGTCACGGGCTATTTTGCAGTGTTCCCTTTGGAGCTATCGAAAAGCAAGCGGGAGCGTTGGCGCTATCTCGAGCCCTTAATAGGAACCTGATATAGGGCACCAGGGGCCGGGGGGGGGGGGTGGAAGGCGTCGTACGAAAGCAGGAATAACTCATTTCGCGAGAGCCCGTCTCCGTCGGTCTTTCTGAGCCCTACTTGCATACCAACAGGGCTGGGTACGAGATGGGTATATATTCCCCTTTGAGTAGAATTCCGCAGACAGGCATTCTCTTACTATCATGTATTAAGCCCGCGGTCTCGGTGATCTCAGCCGGGGGGGGGGGGTATCCTTTTCGTGGCCATGTGGCTTTTTTTGCGAGTCATCGGCTTTTCAACTCTCTCTCTCTCTCTCTGGGTTTATCGTACGGAGTTCCTCCGCAGGCCCGCAGTAGTCGAGTCGCACTATAGAGGCGGATATGCAAGGCTCTTTGCAATGCCGGTGTTGCATGTTTGTCGGACCTGCGCGGGCTGGCAAATGCAATTTGAGGCGGGTTTGGTCCGGCGCACGGAAGCCGGCACGCCAGGCATGGACAATCCATCAGCCATGGCCGGCCCTCTCCTCTCCTCCTCCTCCTCCTCCCCCCAGGTCTGAGGAGCAGCAGCAGCTCACACGTTTTTTGCCGTCGTGATATGGCGGCTGGCAGTAGAGGCGCCTCTTTGTCCATCTTTGGATGGTCCTGGAGCACCTATAATCCAGCAAGTAATGGGACAAATTCTCTTATAAGCTCGGGAGGAGCCCTCCCCCCCCCTGGTCATCTTCCCCCTTGGTGCTGCTTCTCTAGTGCCGGCCAATGCGGCGGGACAAGATCAGTAAACAGCGGGAAAGGAAAAAAAAAAATCAATTAAAAAAAACCAGCTATGCGGATACGGGTGGGGAATCGTTGTTTGAAGAGGGATCCTTGAAAGAGCGAGAAAGAGAGAGAAAGAAAGAGAGAAAGCGGCGATAAACTAAGCTCGCAGCGAGTTCCCTGCCTCTCTCTCTCTCTCTCTCTCTCTCTCTCGCGTCCCCTCTGCTCTGTCTCCCCTCCGAGCTTGTGCGTTCAGCGGGATGGACTGGAAAGACGTGATGGATGACCGCCACCTCGCCGGGGAAGAGGGCGCTTTCGGTGGTGGTGTTGGGTCGCACTGCAGGCTTCCCAGCAGTCATTGTGCATCTGCCTGTCTACAGCCGCCTCTCACTTTGAGTTCTATTGCAGCACTGTAGACCACGGCATGCGGTATAGGCACACCGGCAGAGAAGCCGCGAGGTCGACGACGGGCACACCGGTCGACGTTCCGGTTGCAGTTGACCGGCGCAAGCGCATGCACGTGCTATTTGCTGGCCAAACATCCCAGCAACGGCATCTCTCTTTCTCTCTCTCTCTCTCTCTCTCTCTCTCTCTCTCTCTCTCTCTCTCTCTCTCTCTCTCTCTCTCTCTCTCTCTCTCTCTCTCTCTCTCTCTTTTGCAGCACGGTGCTGGTGACTGCTTGAAACCTCGCGTAGTGAGCAGAATCAGCCCCCTTCAGACCGAGCTGATCCTTCGCGGTTGATCACCGACTAGGTAATCAGAACTTTAACACCCCTCCCGGAAGAGAACGAGAACGAGAGGGGGGGCGTACGGCATTGGTGAGATGAGAATCAAAGGGAGTCTGGATCGTGGATATGAACCATATTGTCGTTGGCGTTGCAGCACAGCAAAAATGGACAATCCAGGACGAGGCGGGGGGGGAACGGGAAAAAGCAAAGAACAACAAACAGCGGAAAAGGCAATTGGACGTCACATCCCGGGCAAAGTCCAGATTGGGTAATCTCGTCGCATTGACATATTGTGCGGGCGTTATTAATAGACAAAATCGATAAAAAGGGTATTCAACACTGGCTTTATGAAATGCATCCGCGCGCCCACTCCCCCCCCCGGCAGAGCCCGGTTGTGACCTTTAAGAGAAACAAAACAAAACAAAAAACATGTAGCAATATCGAACTGGGAAGCATACCAGATCGGGGCACTGCCGATGGAAAGCTGTAAGTGAGGGCAAGGCTCTTCCTTGTGTCGGAAGAGACGACTAGGTCGGTCGTCAACCGGAACGGGTTATCCACCAAGGCGACGTTGGACCAGGGATCGAGGGGGGCCCTGCGAGTGTCAGCTGGGGGCTCGCGAGCGTGGCTTGCCATATTCTTGCGCGCGTGTCTGTGAACTATGTATGTATGTATCCATCGAGCCGAAGGAAGCATGGCAAACGACGATGGTCCGCGGCAGAGATGTCAACGCAACGGCCTAGGTCGGTCAGGCCATGATGACGCCCGGAGGCGCCAAAAGAGATTTGGAGCCGGATGGCGGGATAATAAGAAAACCGCTAGCGAGTGACAGCGCCTTAGTGACCATCTTCTTCCCTCCCCCCCTGGCCTTCTCGACGGGGGGGGGGTAATAGTCAAGGGGGGGATCGGCCTTGCCAGCTCTCTCGACTCGACCGGCACGGAAAGACGGGGAAAAGGATAGGTAGCCAAGGCAGCGACAACGACAAGGACAACCGGGGGGGGGGAGGCCACGAACATAGCAATGCAACCCTCAGCCCGATGATTGCGAAGAGCTTGATGAATAATACTACGTGAATACCACCAACTCACATATAGTAAAGTGGCCGGTTGACGAATGTTGCCCATCAACGTCAACATCAACAGGGGCCAATTCAAGCTAGCGCGATAGGGACAACAGATTCCAGGTTCACAGACGCCACTCCCAACTGGCGTTACGGTTCCTCGAGGGTGCGCCTCTCCGCGTGGCGGTTCCCCCTCCCCCCCATCCTCTTTGGGCCGCGTCCAGTCAAGAGCGGCTTGGTGCTGGCGGTGCAGGCGAACCCCAGCTGATCGTCGCGGAGGTTGGAGATCACAGGATTGTCCCGTGGGCCTTGCGTGGGCTCGCTTGGGTTTCGCACACCCTCCTCTGCTGAGAGGTCCAGACGTGTGTTCATGGGCATGCGAGAGAGAGAGGCGTCCAATAGGATTGCCGGCCGAGGAGCCCCAAAAAAGGAGAGAGGAGCTGAATTGCAGTGAAGGGGGGGGAGGAGGAATGTCAATGAAGAAGAGCATCTGTATGTAAATCATCGTGTCGTGTCAGCTTTCGTTTTCGAGTCAACCATGGGATCGTTCGAGCGAGACCGGACCAGCCCGTCGAAAGCTATGAGAGCCGCTGTGCGTTTTTTTCTTTTCTTTTTGTTCAAAACTCTGTGTAGCCCTTTTTCCAGATCTTTTCCGAGTTGGGAACGTAGATGCCCGCCACCGCAACTCCAGCCGAAACCTTCGGTTAGCTGTCTCGGTCCAGGACAGCCTAGCTAGTCAACGACCTCTGTGGAGCCAAGACGGGAGAGAGAGAGAGAGAGATCTAATCCGGGCTTGTCCGTGTCACGAAGGCGAGAGTTGAATTACCCAATCTCGCGAAACGAAGCCTCTTCAATGCGGCGGACCAGGGGGCCACAACGGAGCACAGCAAAGTAAGCCAAACGGGGATCTCAGCAACTGGCCCGAATCGTTAGATCCCACGGGTACACCTCTGGCCTGTGCTCTTCCTCTCTCTCTCTCTCTCTCTCTCTCTCTCTCTCTCTCTCTCTCTCTCTCTCTCTCTCTCTCTCTCTCTCTCTTCAGTACGGATACTCTCTCCCCCACTCTCGGAAATCTCAAGGCCAGCCCGAGTGACAGACCGGGGTCCCAAGCATCATCGTTCCACAGACGTTCTACACTAGGAACTGCACAGCACAGCCAAGGGGAGGAGCGAGCTGAGGCACAGCGTACAGTTACAGGGCGTTCGTTCGCCCTCTTGAGGTCGCGCAGGTACCCAGTAGTAGCGTTATACACCGTGAATGGCACTCAACACGATGTAAGGGGGGAGGAGGAGGAGGAGGAGGAGTGAGCGGCATTGCATAAGAGCCAACTAAGCCTTGGAGAACGAAAGCATTGGGACTGACTATACCTACCTAGTACGACACGACTCGAGGCGACGGAAGGATATGCCTAAGCCGCCAAGCCCGCCGATATTGAAGACACATTTCTCATATCCCCAGACATGTCTTACTGGACGTTTGAGCCTCATTTCCTCTCATTTTCACGGACCCTTTTGTCCTCTTCTGCCGGTACGTCATTTCTCGTATGGAATTCATTGGGGGTTCGTCAGAGAAGACAGACTTCTGGCACCACCACCCTCGCTCGCACGCACGCGATTTCGGACGGCTTCCAAAAGCAAGTTGAGACGGGAAGAGAGAGAGAGCCCAGGGCTGGGCTGGGTTGGCCCGGTGCATCCCCTCTCCTCCCCACCCCTGTGCTGATCGACAGATCCTTTCTACACTTTTAGCTCGCCTGGACTCAGCATCCCAGTCAGCGACCGCTGCGGGCAAGGCCTGAATGAGGTGTTTGGTGACGCCCATCGCGCTGGTACTGGGCGTATGCCATTGGCCCAGAAGAGGGGGGCGATGGGTGGCGGCATTCAGATGGGCTGGCCTCATCGAACCATTGCGCCTACGGCATATGGGGGGGAGGGTCGATCGTGTTGACGATGGTCGAGATGACCTCAACTTTCTTCGGCTGGCTCCCGATCATACATCACTAACAGAGGCGGCCCTCTCATCGTTTCTTGTGTACACCGCCTGGACAGACGCCACCATGGTGGTCTATTCTGTACGAGTTGCCTTACCTGTCTCCCTCCCCCCCTCCCCTGCGCCGGCAAACGCTGGACGCCGTTCTGTCTCCCGGCCGCCCTAACGAAGTGTCGAGTGGGTTTTCTCCCTGGGCCCGGGAGGGGAAACGATGTTGCGTGGCGCTGCGACGAAACCTTAGTAGATACAGCGCCGGTCGGTCGGCAATTCTATAGCGTTGTCTCTCAAATAAACTAGGTGCGAACAGAAGCTCGTGCTCGTGCGTGCCATGAGCCACCAGAATGCCAGCTGTAGTGTATGTTTCCCGGCTGGTGTGCAGCGGTCTAGAGCACTCCGGAGCTACGGCATGGCACCATCCGGCATCAGTCACATTTCCCACTACGTCAGGGTCCTGGGAGCGGTTTACCCGCAAAGGTGGTGTGTTTTGAGGCATGGTTCGAGATGATGCTGCCGTGTGCGTGTGAAGAACCATGACGCAAATGGGATTCAGCCTGTCTTACAGTCACGTACCCTCCGCCGTCTGTCGATTTGTTCTGCACCACTGCCACGCCCTGTCCTATTACACGTTAATCGTATATACACTCCAACACCCCGGTGGACGAGCCGGTCGATTGTGGATGATCTGCGACGGACCATAGAAAAAACAAGATGGGGGGGGGGGGGCCGGAGAATTCGGATATGCGTCCAGCATTGATATGCCTGAAGCACACAGCGTACCAAACACACGCGTCGGTCGGTTAGTCTTCCGTGACACCACTCGTGCTTCAGGACGATCATGCAGATGCCAAGAGGTGCACATGGCACGTTGCGAGTTGCAGAGACGACGGGACGACATCGTCTGAACTAGAGTCATGGGAGGCTTTTGACGGCGAGGGGTTTCCGGATGGCATTTCCTCCGCAGGAGCCAAGTGTTCGCGGCATCTGTCGTTCTATGCCGTGAGAACGGCACACACACACACATCGATACACATACACGCATACGCATACGCATACACACACGGGTGGTGATGTAGGCGGTGGCTCCCCACCCCCGCCCACTTCATCGACTTCGACCTGAGGGAGTGGATTCTGCCTCCTTTATCCGCGAGAGAATGAATATAGCCTTTTGCCCTGCGGACACTCTCCGAGTAGGTTATCTTGTAAGAGGAAGTCAAGGCCGGGGCTTAGCACGGCACCAGTATAGTGGTCAGTGCCGGCTCCCACGACATCGTTGCCCATCACGGTTGGATCAGCTTTTCCCGCCCGGATGCGTGGGACATTCTTCGAGATCGACACGACGGGGGGGGGGGGGGCGGGGGTGGCAGCCCCAGCCAGCCAGAGAGTGCACGCTAACTGCTATCCGTATATGCTGCGGCAATGTGCCCGCCTGGTTTCCTGCTGACCAAAGACTTGCTAAGTGGGTGTTTGTGGGTGTTTCCAAGGAGAATGAATACCCGAGGCAGTCAAAGACGATCACCGCCTTAGTGCCTTTCGCTTCGAGGTAGGCCCTGCACGACGGGGGTGACACGGAGAAGGCTAGCCCAGCCTCCATTGCCTACCCGGAAATTGGCTGATGGTTAGGACAACCAGAGAGACACTGGACGAAAGAGATGCTCATGGCGAGAGAGAGAGAGAGAGAGAGAGAGAGAGAGGCACACACACACACACACACACACACACACACAAGGCAAGAAAAGAGATGGAGAGTTCTATCATCGGGATATGCCATCGTCTCCCGGCACTAGGAACATCGAGAGAGAGGGAGGAGGGCTGGACTTGTGGTTCGAAACCGATGTATGTATGCTGCATAGAGATAGATGATCTGGGCCACAGCCACCTCCTTCGCAGCCAGAGGCCGGTGCCGTCATTAGAAAAAGAAAAGAAGAAAAAAGCCCCGGTGTTTGGCCAGGCGTCGCACCCGCTACCCGCCACCGGCGCTTGACCAGCGGTCCAACTGCCACATTGTCTACCGTGTACTCTGTATCCGTCTAGGACGGCGTACGGCCCTGGGGAACCGAGAATCGGGTAGGGTTTCGGGGGTATATGGAAACGTCGATATGCGCAGCCGTGTGCAAAGTATGTACAATCCGATCGATCACGCACAAGAGAGGCTCCGAGGTACGGCCGCTTCGCTGTGAGATCCTCCCCCCCCCCAAAATACTGCAGGGCCAACACGCAGCTGCTTGCATGCGCGCGCGCGCGCGCGCGTGGGCGGGACAGAACACACACAGAACAGAACAACGAGGAAAGGGAGACTGGCCGGTACTAAAGGTTTGGCGGGCGCCATGCGCTGGGCCCGATCTGGATGGACGCCGTTTCGTTCGGTACAACTAGGCCGAGGTTGGTCTAGATGCTCTGGCTACCCTTGCTCGTCCGCGGAGCCTTGCCCACCCCCTTGTCCACCAGAGAGAGAGAGAGAGAGAGAGAGACACACACAAGGAGAGATCTGTCTAGGCCGTCTGTCCGTCCGCGCGCGCATCGACAGCGGCGGCGGCGGATGAGAAGGAGAAGGCAGACATGCTTGGGGACTCGGGGAGGGTGCTGCTGAGGATCGCGCTAGCAGAGCTTCAAAGCCCGGGCACGCGTGGAAGCTTCGGTTTTCGTATGTCTGTCCGAAACTGATCTTCGCTCTTGGTGCGCGGCCATGTTCAAAGAAAAGCAGAGATCGCCAATGCTCCTTTAGGACGTTGACCGAGACCGAGGGTTCGGGACTGGGCTGCCAATTGGGAAGATGGGGAGGGGGGGGCCAAAGTAATTCCGTCGAAACAAACGAACTGGCGACTGAGTCGTTACCGGATGCTCATTTCGCCCTAGCCAAGGTCAAAATAGAGGATACGCATATATGGTAGTAAACTATACTCGGGGAGGGGGGGATGAATTATACAGGACTACGTGGGCGGGCGGGCTTCCCAGCGATCTGCAGCCGCAACGGCATACTCCCAGGAACTGAACTGAACGGGCTCATCTGCGAGGTCATTTTTGGAGCGATGGCGTTGCCAGGGCCCTTCATTTCCCATGTTTCCCTCTCGGGGTGGGCGGCGTGACGTGCAACAAAGTACAATAAAGTAGAAAGACGTGACGTGCTCCGCAGCGGGCAAACTCGCAGACCATTACGTAGCTTCAGGGTTCAACCAACGAGCACAAAACGGGCCAAGAGACTACGATGATGATGCCGGCGGCGCTCACCCATCACACGATCCTCCCATGGCGGGGAGAGGGGGGGGCACCCAGCTGCTACCGATTGGCGAGTGAACGAACGAGGCGTTACATCGATTGGGAAGATGGAGAGATTAGGGGGTGGAGGAGGGGGGGGGGGGGGGTCATCATCCCATAACGGTGAGCGAGGATGCGAGCGATGGTACCGTGGGACGGCCGGCGTGGTATGCAGACACCATTTGCGAGGATAACAAAAGGTGAGATCCGTATTATAGGCGCTGAACAGGGTTAGATGGATGACGCGTCGAGCGAGTACATACATACATACATACATACATACATACGTATATGCACTGAGCGAACATGAACTATTGCATTACTCCAGGGTGCTGCTTAACGTATAATACATAGTATGCCATGCCGGCAAACCGATACGAGAGAGACGGTGCCGGTGCGATTAGTCGCGGGTGAATAAGCAAAAGGCGCGTCTGGCAGTCCCCGTGAAGGATTCCAAGGCGGGTTCTGGTGTGAGTCTAGCGTGCCTCGCAACGAAACACGGAAAACTCTCTTCGGCGTTGGCACGCGGCGAGGCGGTAGCCACGCCATCTCGTGAATCGTGATGGCTTCGTCCGCGAAAGGGGGGCCGGTCTTGGAAAAAGCAAGCAACCGCCGGACCGCGTGCCCCCCCCTTGGCCCTTAGCCCTTAGCCCTTGGCGCCACGCAAGTCTCACTGGAACCTCGTCACACAAGAGGGAGAGGGAGAGGGAGAGGGAGAGGGAGATCGAGAGAGAGAGAGAGAGAGAGAGAGAGAGAGAGAGAGAGAGAGAAAGAGAGAGAGAGACAGAGAGAGAGAGTCTTCACTGCCGACAGAAACTCAGCGAGGGAATGTCTCGGTGTGTCGTTGTCTTCACGCGCGAGGGCGCTAAGGTCTTTCGCGAAGATTGACACGGGTGCGCTAGACGACGCCGTCGTCAGCCATTCTTCTAAGCGACGTCTTGAAGTCTGCACTCTGTCTCAACGTCCCCTCTCCCCCCCGTTTCCCCGTTCCCCCGAGCCTTGCAAGTGCAACAAGTCTCTCTTGGGGAAGACTCTTGGGGAAGAGAATGGAGGGGGGGGGTGGTGTGTGTGTGTGTTGTTCGTCTTCGTCGGTTCCCCAGGTGTGTGCCATGCCGAGATGTTGTTTAGGGTCTCAGGGAGGCTCTTCGGTCACAAGGCGACGCACATGGCAAAATGCATAGGGCAGAAATGCAAAGGGAACGTAATGAATGACAAGGCCATCTGAAGTTCCCAGATGTCGCCCGGCTACGCATTCCGAAACGCCAACCAAAAGAACACACGACGGCACATGTCACCCGCGATGGCATTGTCGTCCGACGCCCATGCCGCGCAGGGCAAAAAATAAAGCACTCGCAAAACACCAGAGCGGCCGGAAGCTGTCACGGCGGCGAGACTTGGGACGATTTCGGCCGGAACACGGCGTGACGGGCGGCAAAGTCAGATGCGCCCAACAACGGACGAGTCACTGCTTCATCTGATGGCATTTCTGTTGCACAAGTCGTGCCTGGGGTCTCTCGGAACTCGAGGCCTTCTTCATGCCATCGTCCTCCTCCCGGGGGGGGGGGGGGAGAGGGATTCCCCAGGCCCCCCTTGAACCTTGGCCTTTCCCAGCAAACCTGTTGCCGTTCCGTATGCGTCCCATTACAGTTCCCAAACCTTCTCTGCCATCTTCCCCGGCCCTTGTCCACTCCAAGGGTCGATCACGGACCCCTTCAGCAAGGGCTGCTAGGGTCAGAGATAGGCGGAGGCTACCTTGCGAGCAGAGAGTGCGAGAATCCGACCGAGAGAGAGTGAGAGAGAGAGTGAGAGAGAGAGTGAGAGAGAGAGTGAGAGAGAGAGTGAGAGAGAGAGTGAGAGAGAGAGTGAGAGAGAGAGTGAGAGAGAGAGTGAGAGAGAGAGTGAGAGAGAGAGTGAGAGTGAGAGAGAGAGAGAGAGAGGAGGCAGGCCAAGGTCTCCTTCTACCATGACGCCCTTGTCCTTGCAAGGTTTAAGCCACCCTGCGCAGGCGAGGGGTTTTCCTGGCGCCGGAGCTAAACTGAAGATCATATTGGAATTAG